AGGATATTAAGTAAAGATCATGTTCCATGAAGATATTTTGTAAATTTCCCACTGTAAATATATCAAAACTTATTTTTTGATTAGTAACATGCATTGCTAAGAACTTCATTTGGACAAATTTATAGGCGATTTTCTCCATTGGTTTTATTTTATTTTATTTTATTTGCACCCTCAGATTCCAGATTTTCAAATAGTTGTATCTTGGCCAAATATTGTCCTATCCTAACAAGTGGTCCAGGGTCACACACCCCCTATAATATATATATATATATATATATACTCTATTTATTAGAAACGATTAATATATATTAATATATTTTATAATTATATGTAGTAGTAGTATTAGCATGTAGGTCATGTGAAAATCCTCCTCAAAATTCAGAAAATCATAATTGGGTGCTTTTTCTTGCAGTGTGACTGTAGTCTCCCTCTTCCTCTATCTGCATTCTGGTCTTCCTCTCTCTGTTTCTGTGACCCACTTCACTGCTGCTCCGCTGTAGTGTTTGAATCATTCTTGTCAGAGATGCATATTAAAAACAGATTTATGCTCACCATGAGCGAGCTACAACATATGGTCTTGATGTTCTCTAAGTGCCTTGCTTACATTTCTGGACTTATAATAATGTAATCTAAGCAAAAACTGCATGAATCTGCAGCCATGAAAGAGTTCGGGAAGTGTGCCAGTGACTGTTGCGGGATTGTGGGATCAGTGGGGGGCATTTTAGTCAGATCCAGCCATTCATTCTTAATGCCAACATGAAATCAAAATGTACTCTATTTACTTTGTCTTATTCCCCATGATTCATCGGTGCACATATTTTCAAAGAAAAATTGGAAACATGATGGAAGTAAGATGGGTTTTGTTGACTTTATAGGGTCAGTGTCTCTCTGAAGGGTGTAGTAATTCTTTCTTTTGCTGACAGGTGAGGATGCGATGACAGGAGACACGGACAAGTACCTGGGACCGCAAGACCTGCGTGAGCTTGGGGACGACTCCCTCCCTCAGGAAGGATACGTGGGATTCAGCGTTGGAGCCCGTACGGCCAGGTAATCTACTCTCACCACATGCAGAAAGTGACATCTAAACATTATTACAAAATTACTCTTCATCTGTTACTGTTGTCAGCATGACATACTGTACACAATGGAAAGCTGTAAGTGCTACTAAACTTGAAAAATATTTAAGGATTTATGTATTCGAGTTGCATATAAAATTTCCATCCATTTGAATCCCCACAAGTTCAAGTTCAAACCCCACGAGTCATGAAGTTATGACAATTGAGCCATACTCTTAACATCAGAATATCTGTAGGAATCATGCTGTAAGTTGTATTGGCATCAGTGCTAATTTCCTACTAATATAGTTCAGGATTAGTAAGCATTATGTATTTGGGCAACACCATTTTATAATATCTGGACTGTTGGACCAGGTTAACAGACCACGTAAGATAAGAGAAGAGCCATTTAAAGGGATAGTTCACCCAAAATGTGCTTGTCCTCATGTTGTTCCTGACACATGTGACTGTTTATCCCTGTAAAACAAAATTAGATGTCTTGAAGAATATTAACTCACAATAACTATCATCTAAATGATCTGGTTTCTGAATGGAGAGTATTCATGGCCACAGTACCCAGCTGTTAGTTCCTGATTCCTGTCTTATTTATAAGTACACTCTTTATTTACATTGTGTGTTGGCCGTCTGCTGTCATCTTTTGATTCAGTACCTTGTGCTGTTGAGTGAGAAGGCCGTAGCTAATGTTTAACCTACATGTAACTCGCTTCAGGGGATTTTCCCTCCAACAAACAGAAGTTTGACAGCATTCAATAATCGAAAGGGTTGAGTGAGATTTCAAACTATTGTACACGCAAGCCACAAACTAGGAAATTACAGTCATGTTCAATAACAGCCCCCAGCATTTGACACTGAGAGGACCCTTTTTTTATCGAATGACTTCACATTATTGGTGGAAAAGCGCATTTTATCTTTTGAAAATAAATTGTCTCAGTGAAAACGAGAATCATGTGCTAGAAATGCTTGGTTTGGATGTGATATGTTGCCTTTTTGGTTTATTCTTTAAAGGGGTCATACCATAATTTTTAGGATTCATCATATTGTTTTTCGACTGATATCTGTAATTATTTTTCATTTATCAGCATCGTCCAATATTGGAAAGATATTGCCCAATATTAAATGCCCATATTTAATTAATCATGTGCATTGATTAATCAAAATGGCAATATTTTTAATCCTTTTCTTTATATTTTTTCCTATTATTTATAGTTTTTTTATTTAGAAAATTATTATTTATTGTTGTTTTTAGTGTTTTATATTGTTTTTTTTTTTAAAGATAAAGTAGTATAAATGTATTTATTTATTTATATTTATTTATTGGCCATAACAAGAAGAAATTATCAGCCTATTTCTATCGGTTAGAATTTCAATATTGTCCTTCCCTAATATATATATATATATATACAGTATATATATATATATATATATATAGTCATATTTTAGTTTTTTATTGTATAAATGCTTTATGAAATAAACTGGACATTCTTTGTGTCTGTTCCTTTAAGAAACATTTTCTTTGGATGTGAAATGAGATACAGCACTTTGCGTTTACTCATGTCATGGGAGTCATGGGATTCTGGCATAGGACCTGGAATTTTGCAAGGATTTACAAATGTAGCAGCGCCATAAACATAACTATGATCATAAAGGTTGAATGTTCAGGCACAAATGTAGTGATGTTCAGTTGTCATACAGAGAATTGAGATATAGGCATACTATATGATACACACTTCTTTAGTGTGTAGGGAATCCTATCTGTTTTCCTTTCTTTACATGTGCCAAATATCACATCCTAATGGATTAAAGAGTAAAAAAAAAATTGTTAATTAGTATGTATGAAAGTACAGCACAATGCAGCCCCAGACATGAGAGTCTGTCTCATTCAACCACTGCATTTCTGATTTGCTGCCTTCAATTTCCTCTGTTCTTCCTCTTCCATTCCATAGTCCTAAAGTCAGGTAAGAGGGCATGATGCTTCCAACCCTTCCCATCCCTTATCCCAAGTCATTCTAAAACCATGGATCGTTGTCGTGTACTGTGCTTTGTACATTGTTTTTCATTTGATGAAGAATACACATTCTGTCTGTGGACTATGGTTTCATTTTGATTTTAGGTTTTGTGTTGACAGTTTGGTGTGTGAACCTGATTTGTCAAGTTTTAATTTTTCTTTTCAGGTTTGATTGCTGTAAACATTTCAGTTTTTGTTCGCTTGAGTCCAGTTACTGTACCAAATAGTTTCTTAATGTAGCTTCCAGGGATGCATGAAGAGCCTCATCAGCTGAATCAAATTTCATCCATTTAAATCAGTAAACTCACAGACCACAGTGACATGCTCACAAGAAACAGATTCTCCTTCGGCAGCTAGGCAATGCGAACTGAGAACCCGCGTCATATTTTTTTCTGATTGGGCACAGCCGTTGGAAATAGCGCGCGCATGTTAGCTCAGTCCGCATTAATGCACCTGGCCTTACTGCAAATAGAAATGAAAGCTAGAGTCAAGATACAGTAAACAACTTCCAGATCTGGTTTAGCTTCGGTGCAGTTTTATTTAATTTTATTGTAAATTGTCCATTTGCTAGCTCCACACCATTATTTACTGTTACTCACAAACACTATTTACAGTTACTCTTAAACAGCTTTAAAGGGTTAGTTCACCCAAAAATGAAAATTCTGTCATTAATTACTCACCCTCGTGTTGTTCGAAACCCGTAAGACCTTTGTTCATCTTCGGAACACAATTTAAGATATTTTTGATGAAATCTGAGGGCTCTCTGACCCTCCTATAGACAGCAAGGTAACTACCACGTTTAAGGTCCAGAAAAGTACCAAGATGATCGACAAAGTAGTCTGTATGACATCAGTGGTTCAACTGTAAAGTTACGAAGCTACGAGAATACTTTTTTGCGCAAAGAATACAAAAATAACGACTTTATCATGACGCGAGCGTGTGGCGTCATTACGCCGGATCTGGGTCAGCGCCGCCACACACTCGCGTCATGATACTGTCGTGAACGCGCGTCCACAAGTGATGCAGTAGAGACGAAAATGTGAAATAAAGTCGTTATTTTTGTTTTCTTTGTGCAAAAAAGTATTCTCGTAGCTTCGTAACTTTACAGTTGAACCACTGATGTCACACGGACTACTTTGTCGATCATCTTGGTACTTTTCTGGACCTTGAACGTGGTAGTTACCTTGTTGTCTATGGGAGGGTCAGAGAGCCCTCAGATTTCATCAAAAATATCTTAAATTGTGTTCCGAAGATGAACGAAGTTCTTACAGGTTTCGAACAACACGAGGGTGAGTAATTAATGACAGAAATTTCATTTTTGGGTGAACTAACCCTTTAAGGAATGCCCCATATGAATAGTAGATTTTCATGAACAGAGTTATTTTTTTTGTCAAATGTGCTCAAAGAGCAGTAAAAAAAGCGATGGATTGAAATATGCTGAATTGCAATGTTGCATAGCATTATAATCTTTCAGTTTATCAGTATTGTCTGATTTTGGATGTATTTGGGTGTTGTTGCATATATTTATTTGTGCTCATTTCCCTTTATTTTACATTTAGATTTCTTTTGCCATCATCTAATGTTTAAAGTTAAAGTTAATCTTTAAAAACACTTGTAATTTAATTATTTTAAGTTCAATTGAATTAATTAATAACACTTTTAGGAAATCTATATATTTATCGTACTTTATAATGCTGATGCCTAAATTCACTTTAAATATTTATTTTTTTCTACACAAAATAGTAAAGAATTTTAATAATTTTAATAAAGTCATAATGTCATTGACTTATTATTAAAATGATCAGCTTATTGTATTGGCTAGAATGTAAAAAATCTGTGCATTTCTATCGACACCATAGTGACAAAAATCAGTGCATAAATGAAATGATGTTAGGTTAGAAGTATTTAATTTAATTTAAAGTAAATGCAGATGTTCTTACTAATGTTTTGCATGTTTATTTAGGAGTGAGATCAGTTTAATCCACAGCATGAACTTCTCAAGATGTATTTAAAGATTTGGGTAGTGAAAAAGTACCATGCTTATTTTCTCCAACTATTATAAGTGGTATGTGGTATTTTTGGTTAATTTCTGTAAATCTCCATTTTAAACCACCCAAACACGCAGATGCTCCTTAGATTTACTTTATACAATTGCAAAATTTTATCTAATAATGTGTGACTATGTGGCAGCATAGGAGTAGGATTTAAACATTTAACAAAGGACCAATTGCATATTTTTAAAAACAGTCTGGCACACATTTGTGTCTCATTCATTCAGTCATTACAAATATTCACCAGCGTATCATTTAAGATGCTACACATCTGTTAATTATTCTCTAGACATCTATTCTCTCAATGTCTAACCCATCACACCACTACACGTATCTGTCTTGTGGGTTCGATCCTTGTTTTGGCTATTGTGCATCAATTTCCCTGGAAGTTGCATGCAATAATAAATGTTTTTGTTTTGTGTGTGTGTGTGTCTGTGTGTGTGTGTGTGTGTGTTTTGTGTGTATTTCACTGTCACTCCCCCGCACTGTATGGTATTAATGTAAATGCCAACAGCCTGCGCTCCTTCAGTTCGGATAGGTCCAATACACTCAACCGGAGCTCCTTCACCCGTGACAGCATGATGATCGAAGAGATCCTGGCACCAACTAAGGACACGGTACGCCCTCTTTCTCCTTGAGTTTTTAGATTTTGCGTCAGCTTAGTGCTGTCTGTTGAGTCTTTTATATCATGTGGATTTTAAATCATGTTCAGCATACCTTACTCTAAACCAGATACTTATTTCAACAAAGAAATACAAATTCTGTACTAACAAAAAGAGTACCAGTGGTAGGGAAGTACCATAATACCATGAAATGTGAATACAGTAATTATTCAATATCTTTGTATATAGCAAAATATTAGATTAGTGTTATATTTATGTACTTTAAAAGAATATACTTACTGTAAGTCTGAACTGAATGTAATATTTATGGACACTTAATTGCACTTAATTTACAGTTAAATAAAATGTAATGCAGTTAACAGCTGAACTGTGCTTTTTTATACATTTAAGTAGAACTTAAGCACGTCTTTATATGTAATTTCATAATTACTTTTATTGTCTTTGAAATATACTGCTGAATGTACTGACACGCATTTATGGTTACTAAAATATAATTGTGGCATATAAAATATAATTGTGACATATGTAATTTCTGTTGTATGTCATGTATTTAAATATATTTGTAATTACACATTTGTAATAATGAAGTTGCAATTTAATACATTTAAAAAGGAATATCAAATAAAAATAAGACACCACAGTTGAAATTATAATCAAGTACTTTACATGTTACTTAAGTATGTTAGTCAACACATCGCAATACAGTAAGTGTACTTCTTTAAAGCATGCCAAAAGAATATTGGTAACACTTTACTTAAAGCCTTTATGTATAATGCATTTTAAAGTAATAAAGCAACTCTCCAGTGTGTTCATGTTTTTGCTCACATCTGATCTCGACGGACTAAACAGAATGATGTAATGCTAGTTCAAAGGTGTTTACCAGCCTGAGCAAACTTTTCCAAAAAGTTTCCCTTGGCAAGCTGTTTTGAGCTCGTGAAACTCCATTTTTTTGGCCTGATTTTGTTTGAAAAGACATCACACCAGTTTGTTTTTTGATTTCACTTTAAGTGTATCAGGGCCTTTAGAATTCAGTGCAAATTATTTCTCATTTGTGAAACTGAAGTATGCTGTTTCCAATTCCAATTATGCTTATCGTTTCCGATTCTTAAAGATTCCCCGTTTCTATTTCAATAGAATTTCAAGGTATAAAAAAATGAAGTCAAACATTTAGATATCAACCATATTTATTCTGTGTTTTCTGTGGCCTTCTGACAGCAGCAGGAATATTAGGCTGCTGTCACTTTAAGACCTAATACACATGCCTTTTCTTTCTCAACTGTTTACATTCACTTAAGACAAAACCAACTGTGCACATGAGGATATTTTGACAATTTTGTGGGTATTTGACTGTTCAAGCGGAAGAAGATGCGAAAGAGAACTCAATTATGAGTTCCTCTGTATGAGAGATGACTTTTTGTGACCGCTCTTTGGATAACAGCACATAAGTGTCGAATTGAGTTCTCTTCCATTTCAATGGTTTAAAATCACATTAAATCGCACTTGAATATATAATCGGAATCAAAATGTACTTGTCTAATCAAATACACAGTTCTCTGAACTTTGGAACTCGGTTCTCTTTCTTTCCCAGATTCATTCCTTCTCTTCAATGTATTATAATAGAGACAAAAATAAACAAATGTTTTTGTGTTAGTGCTTATATATATATTTTTTTTCCATATTCCATATTTCCACTTGTTTCTTTGCAGCATTTCTCCCTCACTCCTTCAGTACGACAACAGGTGATGGTTGATCACGTGATCACAGTTTTTCCTCCCTGTGTTTGTGTTGTTGCTGTTCTCAACTCAACTTCTAGAGAGACACAGCCCTAAATCAGTGTAGATCACTATTTGATAACATCATAAGCCAAAGAAACCATAAGACCTACTGTACACACGTATATCATTGTCGCTTATTGTTTTTAAATTCATTTTTATTATAATGTACTTTATGCTATAATGTTAAAATGGGGTAAAACAATTGTGATTTCCGTAGCAATGAGTGTTTTAGCAATACAAATACAAACTGCTGAAAATAGATAAAAATATAGAATAAAAATAAAAGATTTACATTGTGACACCTTAACAGTTTAATTGAATTCTGATTCTTTACTGTAAACTAATTGTAACCGTCTTTGTTAGTACAATGTCTAACTATCCAACCAATATTCTCTACCTCACTAACTTCTCACCAGGTGCATGGAATGATCCCAGATCACTTCTTCTCTGATTTTCTCTCTGAAATTTGTTTGTGAGTGTGTTTTTATCACAGCATGGGACAACTCATCTCTGAGAGCCTGCAAGATGCAGAATCACTCTTTATCATCTCTTATTGGATCATTTTCCTCCCGCAGGTTTTTGGTGAGCTTCATGGTGGATGCCCGCGGCGGTTCCATGCGAGGAAGTCGCCACAATGGTATGCGCATCATCATCCCGCCCCGCAAGTGCACTGCGCCAACACGTATCACTTGCCGTCTGGTCAAGAGACACAAGCTGGCGTCCCTGCCGCCCATGGTGGAGGGAGAGGGGCTGGCGAGCCAGCTGGTGGAGGTGGGCCCAGCGGGGGCTCAGTTTCTGGGGTAGGTTTCACCTTCATGCCCATTTCACTCCAGCTTTTTCTTATCATTTCCATGGAAAGCATCTGTGTTTGGTAGTGTGTGTCGGTGAAGTGTTTCAGCAGTGACAAAGAGCGGCTTTGCCCACCATTGTTGTCATGCCAGTGCCCTGGTACATGACACTGACTCAGCGATGTACAGTAAAGTACCTTGACCCTTTCCTTAACTCTATTTCCTACAATGGGATCCTGCAGCTCATCAAAGTTCTCTAGTAAATATCTTGAGGACTGCTGAAAGAGCTCAATCATTTTAGTAATAAGTGTTTTAAAATGACACATATTGGCTCTGTTCTAGAACTTGGTGAGCTGCCTACAAAGACATGGTTAACAGGGTAAACATTTTTATTTTTAAGTAGATATCATCATACTTTCCCCTGTCGGTTAAACACAGTACATTAAAGGGATGGTTCACCCAAAATTGAAATCTTTTGTCATCATTTACTCAATGCTCAAGTTCTTTCAAACCTGTATGAGTTTCTTTCTTCTGCTGAACACAAAAGAAGATATTTTAAATAATGTTTGTAACCAAACAGTTGACAGTAGCCGTTTACTGTAGTGTTTTTACAATTTAATTCAATGGCTGCCATCAACTGTCTGGTTTTCTTTTGTGTTCAGCAGAAGAAACAACCTCATACAGGTTTGGAAAAACTTGAGGGCAAGTAAATGATGACAACATTTTTTTTTTTTCATTTTTGGGTGACCTATACCTTTAAGACAGTTGTTTTGGATTACATTTTCAGATTTTTTTTTTATATGCAAATGATTCATTATCTAATTAGTCATTAATTTGCATACATTTCCAGAATAGAAATTTGAACATTGGATAAAGCCAGGTTCACAACTGTTGTTTAATTTTGTTGACATATTAAAGCATTTTTACAGACAGGATTTTAGATTTTTAAAATAAAATGTTATATAAATAAGACAAAAGATATGTGAATGAACCCATATGTAAAAACCTTCAGAATATTGGACTAAAACTGTAAAGTTTGGTGTATGTAAGTGCTACTGAAGTGGAGATTTCTTGCTCAATGCATCAGGAAAAACAAATTATAATTTTGAGTTGTAGTTTAATTCTAAAGATGCAAATAGATAAAGTGTACTAAAATAAACACTTAAATGTGTATTTTGGGTGTTTTACCTTGAATTAGTCTGAAAGAAGGCTAATTTTATGAAAATCATAAAATTGACCACTGCATTAAAAAAATATTATTAGAGTAAAGTAAAATAAAATGGTTTTGCCTGTAGTGTCTTGCCTTAAGGAGTCCTGTCTCCTGTGCGCTATGTGTTGCCTAGGAATGTTCCAAATAGCTCACTCATGTCATTTTGGATGCATAGTAGATGCAAGAAAGCTCACTAGGTTTTGGAACAAGCCGCTGTACTTGGAACAAGATGAGCAATAGCTCACTAAAACATTACAACGCTAGGGCTAGTCTCCCATCCTGCAGGAATGACAAGTTGTTCCTCCTTTTTGTTCCTCTAAATGCTGCATGGATATAATTCAGTAAACTCCATCTACCTCGAAAACTCCCCCCTCTTAGCGAGGGCGAGAGCTACATTAGCCGAATCCTGCAGCTCGGGCCACGGGGAACAAAGTTTTCTGGGTAGGAGTGTGTGCTTAGTGAAGTCACAGCACTTCATGTTGATTTCAACTACTACTTTTATTGACGCCATAGCTGATGTTTCCTTTGTCTCCTCCTTTACGTTCATCTACACCTTTTCCTTTTAGCTTTCAGTGCGCATCGCTGAAAGTGACTCATACTGGCTGTTTGTGCTGGTTATGCAGTGCTTGGTGAGCATGAGTGTCTGCAGTCATGGCTGCCGCCTTAGCCCTGTGTTTTTATGCTAAAAGAGAGTTTCATTTGACCTTTTAGTTGTAGAGAAGGTATCAGTGTTTATTTAAGGGTAGGGTCACTCTCAGAATATTCTTGAGCAGTTAATATTGTATTTGGATAAGGCCGTTTAGTGTCTAATGTGCCCTGTTTGACTCTCAGTTGTAGTGGGTCTGTGTGCCCCATGTCTGGGGCCTTCAGGCATGACATTTTCCATGGTACCTTCTCTGTCTACACATTAAATGTTTTCTTCCATGATTCCATGTTTGTCCGATGTTACTGTTTTCATCCGTTGTGTAACATAAGCTATTTGATTTAATTGATCCATATTAGAATGGGGCTTATAACATACTGGCCAGAACAGGTCGCATTTCATTTGTAATGGTTTCGTTGACAAATTCATTTTTAGTAAATGCCCCAAACTGCAGAAAATGCCCATCTTAATTCAAGCAAGTCTCACTTAAATAGAAAATACAGCAAGAGTTTCCTTAAGTAGAACCTGCCAATGGGATATGCAAAAGAAACATAAACGTGTTGCCACAAATAATATGAATAGATTTTAAACCTAGACAGAAATGCTTAAAAATGAACTGAAAAATGTAACAATTACTGTGAAGACTGCAGTTATGCAATTAAAACGATTCCCCTTGTTTTGAGCATTTGCATCTTGAATAAGGAAAACAAATGTAGACTAATCTTAAAATAAGAAGCAAATTCTTAATGTAAGATTGTCTTAAATAAAGCAATGAATAGCATTCACACTTTTATCCACCTTGATGGATTTTGTACTTATAATCCAAGACTGATTCACTTAAATGTACTTAAATTTGACCTGAAGTGCACATTCTGTCAGCATATGTGTTTCCTGGGAATTAAACCCTTGATCTCAGCATTATTAGCACCGTGTTCTACCAGTTGAATTGGATTGGAAACCTTGCAATGACTCTGTGAAATAAGAATATATTATTAGATATAATGTTTGAAATAAGACCACATAAGTTAATTTCTGAACTTATAATTTCTTAAGATGCACTAAGGTTGCTTAATGATTGATCATTTTATAAGCATTTCTGATTAGTTTTATGGTCAATACATATTTCCATTGGCTAGATATACTGTAGTGCTTGTTTAAAGAATTCTTAAATTATTTTATCCCACTGGCAATTGTTTTGCTTAATTTTAGGATTGTTTTGCTCTATTTAGGTGTTTTGCTTGTTTCAAAAGGGCATTTTTTTGCCAAATTTACAAATTTCCTTAATCAAGCCCTGTCTTGGTCTTAAACATCTGTTCATCTATTTTAATGTTATCTCACTATTACTGTTACGGTGTATTCAAGTTGAAATATCACAAGATTTAAAAAAAATATATTTGATAAACTATGCTGTCTGAAAGTGAATTTATCTTGTTAGATATTTTAATGAAAATAAAAAAACAAGAATAGGATTTTGTGCATCTTTATTTTGCATCTGACTTGGTGTTTGAAAGATTTAATTTCAAAGCATGAAGCAGTGACGCTTGGTAAAAAAAAAAAAAAAAACCTGTTATGCTAAACTAAAACATTGATAAAATCACTTCTGCATCTGTCCTCTTGGGTTCATAATAGAAACCACTAAAGTTTACCTGTATTAGTATCAGATGCATTTGCCAAGTGCCCCTCTTTTGCACTAATGTTCCATGAATGTTCGTCATCGCCATTTACTAAAGTCATCATCAGCATTTGTGTGTCTCGTCGTCTCACATTTATTAGTCTGAGAGGTTCCACTGATAAAGGCTTGCAATGTGTTTTCACAGCCCTGTGATTGTGGAGATCCCTCATTTTGGGTCCATGAGAGGGAAAGAGCGAGAGCTCATTATGTTAAGGAGCGAAAACGGTGAGACCTGGAAAGAGCATCATTATGACTGCAAATCTGAAGACCTCGTTGAGCTCCTCAATGGCATGGATGAAGGTAAAATGATGATTGTTAAATTTGCACTGTTACTGACCTTACTAGTGCACGATGAGATTCAGACAAGCCTATAGTGAGTGTTGATTAGTGCTCGACGGACTTGAGTTTTTCAGAGGTGATGGCAATATCTAGAAGGCAGGAAGGCCAATGTCTGATATAATGCATAGATATTTACAGACAATACAATTTAGAGACAGCATGTGCCATACACAAATGTGTTGAAATTAAATGAACATTTGGGTTACACATTCATTACAACAACATAGCAACACATTTATCACCACTGCAAGACTGTAGCATCATGATGCCAACTTTTGCATAGGCAAACACCACTAACATTTCCTTCAGGAAATTAAAAATACTAGTTTTTGTTTGCTTCTGTAAAATATGTAATTTAAATGCTTCCTGAAATCAATCTCACATAATACTTGTGTACTCATAGCAAGAGTTTTCTAAAGCAGAACCTGCCAATGGAATATGCAAAAAAAAGAAAGAAACTAGCATAAATTTCTTGGCACAAATAATATTAAAGGGGTCATATGATGCGATTTCAATTTTTACTTTCTCTTTGAAGTGTTACAAGCTCTTGGTGCATAAAGAAGATCTGTAAAGTTGCAAAGACTAAAGTCTCAAATCCAAAGAGATATTCTTTATAAAAGTTAAGAGTCAGCCACACCTACCTAAAATGGCTCGTTCTAACACGCCCCCACATGTCTACGTCACTATGTGGGAAGATTTGCATAACGCCGCCCAAATGTTCA